TGGGGCAGGTGTCATGGAAGATCAGGGAAGAAGTAAGGCCTGTAAGCTTGATGTCTGTACTGGACAAAGGAGTAGAAACTATTATAAGGAATACAGTAGTTCATACCTGGGTAGACATGATACAGTTGGGGAAAATTACATGCCTTTTTGAAAGGAAGGTTATGCCTCTCCAACCAAGAGATCAAAAATCATTTGAGTAAGAGCACATGGTATTCTCCACTAAGACTTCCAGAAAGCCTCTGTCAAAGTTTCTAACAAAAAACTCTTGAAACTAAAGCAGATGTGGGACTTAAAGGAAAAGGTTCTTGCACAGGTAAGTAATTGGTTAAAAAGTAGGAGTCAAGGGATGGGGTACTGTTCAACCCTCACCAGGGAGGGGAGTCACCTGTACTGCGCATAAGCAAGTTGGAAAATGGGATGAACCGTAAAGTGACATTTTCTTGCTGCATTAGCAAGGGCTGGTGCTAAATGTGGGGAATTATAGTAAGCCCTTACAAGATTGGGTGGCTGAGCAATAAAACAGCACATAAACTTCTATGTAGATAAATGTAGAGTAATGTACATGGAGAAAAAAATTGTAACTGCATATGTAAAACAACAGCCTCTGAGTTGAGTGTATTTGCATGCATATAGAAGCATATGAACCCATGAGTAGCATAGAAGCAGTGGGGTTTGATTGTTCAGCATCTCTCTTAATATGAGCCCTAGAGAGTGCAAGTCTTTGAAACCAACAAAAGCTGGTTCAAAATAAACAAAAGGTGGTGGTTTTTCTTGCAGCGCAGTCAGGCTGTGCATGAAACATTGCACTGCAGGCTTTTACAGCTGGTAGAGGTTTACATGGTCTTACTGAGGAGCTAGACGAGCTCGTGCAGGGGAAACTGAAAATCAGTAAATATGTAGGAATCACATTTGAATCACATCCACATCAGGCAGTCTCTGAGCTTGAAAATGGGTAGTCTCTCAGAGAGTAGCAGTAGAAAATATCATATATGATTGCCCTGTTTTTCACCTTTCCTAAGCACATGCTGTTACCAGAGTCAGGACATTAGAGCTCTAGTGAGGCCATTCTTAGGTTGTTATATAGATCGGATGCAGCTCTTCCTCAGGATTTCAGTGCTGTGACTCAGAGAGGTTGGTTCATTCTTTTCATGTCAATAGGAATTCATTTCCTAAAGGAGCATCTATCGTATTCAGGGTTTATGTTGCAGGCAGAAGTAAATAGAAATAGGACAGAGTCTGCAATCCTCAGAAAAGCCTTTGGTCCTCCCTTACAGGCCTCCAAATTTTCTCACATTGCTCAGAAGAAATCTTGATCTTTAGTTTTCAAGATGGGGCATGTATGTTTCAATTCTGTTATCTGTTCCTCCCTGTTGTGGTTTAACCCCACACAGCAACTAGGCAGCACGGAGCCCCTCGCTCACTTCCCCCCCACCCAGTGGGATGGGGGAGAGAATCTCTATCCCAGCCAAAACCAGGACACTCCAGAAAGTAAGACTCCTGTTCATGGCTGGGAGGAAATATCACTGTAGAATCATAGAATGGTGTGGGTTGGAAGGCACCTTAAAGATCACCTAGTTCCAACCCCCCTGCCGTGGGCAGGGACACCTTCCACTAGACCAGGTTGCTCAAAGCCCCATCCAGCCTGGCCTTGAACACTGCCAGGGACGGGGCAGCCACAACCTCTCTGGGCAACCTGTTCCAGTGCCTCACCACCCTCACAGGGAAGAAGTTCTTCCTTACATCTAATCTAAATCTACCCTCTTTCACTTCATAAATATTTACTTATTTATAAATATTTACTACTCGTGAATGCAGAAGCATTCCAAATATACCTTTTGACACAAAATATGGGGTGTTTTTTGACTGATACAAAAGAGAAAATTTCCCCTGTCTTGAAGACTATTAGCCTGTCTTTATCTTCTTTTTAAAGGATTGATAAGGGTGGTTTGGAGCCATATGTTAAACCATCTGAGATTGTTTTCTGTCAATTAGACTGGATCTAGTCTTAGTTAGCGCATAAGGTCTCAAAAATATGACCACTGCTTAAAAAGAAATTGATTACTTGAGTATATATTAATAAATCCATCATTGTAAACACTCCAGTAATCTTGCTTGGAAGATTATTGCAAGTCAAAAAATTAGAAGCCACGCCACACAGGCTTAATACAAGATTTTAGGGTTTATGTATGATTGACAAATGTCACTTTTATGGAATGTTTGGAGACCTCAGTCATGCTAAAAGACTAAGAGAAACCATTAAGATGAATCTTCTGTTCTATACAGCAAAATCCACACCTGTTCCAACAACTTCAGCTACTCAGCTCTACCCTGTGTTCCTTCATACCTGCTGTAGCAGCTGTTTCATAAATTAAATTTTCACTCTCTGTGGCGAAATTTGTCACAAACTAAAGTGTTCCCCATAATTCTTCTTTGACCTAAGTAGTAAATACCTAGAAGTAGTAATTGTCTTTGGCCAAATTAGAAACTGCAGATGAGAGACAAGATGATGTCTTTGTGAACACTGTATTTTGTCCTATTATTCCTGGGACATATTTTTTATTAATAAAAGTTATGTAGAATTTAATTCCATAATCTCTCTGTATCAGGTATAAGTACAAGCAAATGGCAGGAAAAGTTAACTGAAAAAGAAATTGCAGTGCCAAACTAGCTTTATCATAGTTCTCACATTCAATGCACACAACCAATTGAATATATAATAAAATAATAAATACTTTCTGTAAAATTGAATGTAAATAATTCAGAATGTATTTAAATACATCATCTGTATATAGAAAAATTATATGTAAAGGTTACGATCTGAAAAGCTTAAATGCTTTACTGAGCATCGTACTTTGTATATTCTGTTTTACCTATTTAATATCAGTTAGTATGTATAGCATGAGTCCTTAAATGTTAACACCATACTGCATGATAGCAGATTTTTCGTTTGGGAAAGTAGAGGAAAGAACTGAGGAACAAGATAAATTTCATTACTGTAAGAATTTAAAGTGAGATCCTTGGGATTTTAAGATACGTCTGGTGAATGGAAAAGAACCAGAGAAATGAGGGAGGGAATAGCAGGATGGTGGCAACTAAAGGAATATTTCTTTACTGCTGAGAGATTTTCTGTTTTTTGTAAATTGCTTAAAAAATACCTTTCTAAATCCCATGTACAGGCAACCACCTTTCTTCAAATATCTGCTGATGTTACAGCATGGAAACCATATGAAGGGGAAACAGGGTGGCAAGTAAAAAAACGAAAAAGCCCATACTTTCATAACTTTACTATCACGCTGTATCTTACCAGTTTTCTGATTCGAGTGAAACGAGGATGTTTGCTTTGATTTGGCAAGAGTTCCAGATGTGAGGGACCATTGAAGAAAGTTGCTTTCCAAGGGTCAATTTTCAACTAGAAGATAGCTGGGAAGGAATAAAATAAAAGATGTGGAAAGGAAGCAGGCGTAGATAAGAGGTGTCAGAAGCAGCTCCTGTATATTGCCCTAAGGACAAGGATAAATCATTTACATTTTATTCAGATGTTGAGGAGAAGATTGTGGAGAAATTCAGTGCAGAGCTGTGCATGATTAGAATAGTAAGCTGGGCAAATACTGATGTTTGGAACAGGTTTATAATGCCCTGAATGGGAACCAGAACAGAACGCCTGAAGCTGTCCGTCTCAAATGCTCTAAGGGCCGTGATCAAGAAATAAGAGAAGATGCACTCTAGCCAGCCACTTTCAAATTCCAGAAGAAGCTTTTAGTAGATTATTTTTGTCATGTGTAGCAGAACTATGGCTAAAAATGTTTGGAGCTAATTTGGGTTTCCTTTGTGTGAGCTTGCCTTTACTTACTGTCTAGCAAAAGGCACACACCATCTTTTCATCAAGAAATGATAAGCAAGATACGCTGCATTTATTTTGGAAAGAGTAACTTCACATTCTTACATTGGAAAACAGAAAATTCTTCATCTGCTTTTGTCACTTTAGATCTAGAACTGTTAGGTTTATCCTGAGTAAATTTTGCATTTTGCAAATATTTAACACAACATGGGTGCAATGTGGTGCTAGTGATCGCTGTGTTACCAAAAGACACTGGACGTTCTTGGGGCTTTTTTAGGTAAAATTGCATAAATTTTCTCATTGTGGATTAATAAGTATCTAACAACTAAAATTGCTCATTCTGTGCATCTCCAAAGAATTCTTTTACTTTTGCCCTATTCATGTTAATTATGATTTTCTCCATTGCCATTAAAAATATTCTGGTAAGGAAAGGGTTAGCAGGTTGGCTCTTACTATTAGCTGAGGATGAACAAAATGGCAGCTTAGTAAACCAAAGCAGATGATAGAAGAGACCATGAGAAACCAAAGCTCTAATTTAAGAGAAAATTGCTCCTTGCAACTTTTGGTTCAAGTGTATACCCTTTCTCTTAGGCAACAGATGTTCCCTTATTTATGTTCCTGTATGTCATGACGTTCTTTAATCTTTACATAACTCAAATTCCTTTGGTACGAAAGAACATGTTTCTGCTGGGCCTTTCTGATAGCTGGCAGTATGGTGACTGCTGGCTTTTTCATGTTGTGTCAGCCAACAGCATGGATAGCAAAAATATCGTTCATAAAATTGTTCAAAAATGTTGAGATGATCTTAGATTATCTTTTATATGTCCTATCAGTGTTTTCATTTGTTACTGTGCTGTCTTATTTTCTTTCATGAAATTTTCCATTAGCCAGTGAGAGATAATGAAGTATGCGAATTTTTATTTCCATTCTCAGCTTTTTATTATATGCAGTGGCTTAGCTACAGTGCTAAGCAGTTTTAAAAGGGAGAAGCAAATAAGGTAGTGAAGCACAACTACCTTGGTGGTAATGGAATTCATTGTTTCAGTCACTAAGTATTGTAATTCATTAGAGACAGCTAATATAGTCTGAAATGCTGAATTGTTACTTTTAAAACCAGTGAAAACCAATAAGCATAATTAAATTGCTTTTTAATTTTCTTCAGAAATACAAGCCTGGTCGATGTGATGATATTTTGAAATGGAAGCCACCCAGCCTGAACTCTGTTGATTTTCGTCTAAAGATAACAAGAATTGGTGGAGAGGGGTATGTAATCTCTTCCCTTTTTTAATGTATAACACTCATGTGAATGTCCCGTAGCAGTTAATCTCTCCTCTGATATTTCTTGACACTTCCTGGGGCTAAGGCTTTCTATATTTTGTAGAATTTGGTCATTGAAAATACAAGCAACTGTTGTAATCAGTGTTGTACTGAAGACAATGGCAGATGCTTATAATGTAAATCTACTCATTCTTAAATTCAGTTTCATAAAATTTCTTTAAAAAATTAAAAAGTCCTGTTTGGATTTGGCACTACCCCTTATTTTTTTTAGAAAATAGGCAGGCTGTATTAGCTTAAGTTCTTACATAAAATAACTATTTTCCATTGGTTTTATGCAACATAATAACAACCTAAGCTTTCTTCCGTTTTAGAATTCTGCACAATGACAAACAGCACTTGTTTTCTTGAAGAAAAACAAAACTTAACATTTTTACTCCACAGGTATTCTTTGGTATTGTCTTTAAAACCATTAAAATCTTAATCAAAAATAGGGAGTTCTAATGGCAGAAGACATGTCAATCTTTATAGTACATCAGTTCTACATACTATTTGCCTAGTTCAGTCATTGCACATATTAAAGAGGGGCAATTTGCATGTTCATTTGTGCCAGGGAGTGGAAGGGGAAGATTGAGTCACTAGATTAAAGCTTGCCTTGGAAAAGATTTTGTTTAAAACAAATTTAATTGATTTTTGGGTTGCTTAATGTTTTAACATCTGGGACTTATTTCAACTGGCAGTTTGAAATACTGACGTTTAGCTTTTCTTTTTCTTTGTGCCACAGGCAACTCAATACGATTAAACAATTAATTAATATATTGCTTACGTATTCCAGAGAGCTAATAATGGTCCATCTAACTTTTAGACATTTGCATGTCATGTTAATGAATATATTTGGTGAATAGAGAGTACCTTAAAGATATGGGGTTTATTCTGCAAAATGTACTCAACTGCTAACTTCTGAGCATTTCATGATGTCTGAATTATCTATTCAGATTTTTGTGTTTGAAAATGCAATATTAAATCCTCAGTAATAACATAGCTATTTCAGAGAATATACAGTAATATTTTGACTTCAGATAATCAGCTCATTACAAACATTTCAGGTTTGTTTGGCTTTTATTTAAATCACAGAACAGTGTAATATGAAAGATTTCTGTAAAAAAAAATTTACAAATTACCCATTATTTGATAGGAATGTTATTTTTATTACTACAAAACTGTCAGTGCTGTTGTGTTTGGTTTAATATATTACATCATAGATTATTTGATCAGAACATGAAAAGGCTATAAAATATGAGCCTGCAAAAACCAATTTCTAAAATGTTGGGCACTTAGTAGCAAGTTAATAAAGAATGCCTGATCCATTGTGGAATTGGAAACACTTTCTAACATTTAGAAAAGTTCTGCTATATTCCAGCTATGTGAAAACAAATACATTGCTCATATTGTGGAAATAATTACCTGAGTTAGTCTGTAAATACTGTAATACTTAAATATGTTAATGTTTATGTTCCTCTCACATGCACGAGAAAAAAATAATCCTCGAAATCTGACATGTGATAAATAAAATACATTTCTTCCAGATACATTTTACTTCATCTCACATAACGGTTGACTGCTATTAGTAACAGAAATGCATTCATCCAGCAAAAAGAAAAGTTAATGAAGTACTGGGTGGAAAATAATAATTTGCCATTGTTGGGAGAGAGGTATTTATGTTAAGTAATGACCTATGAAACAGTAGCTTCTGCCCAGTTAAACACAAACAATGAATGAAATACTCCAGGTTTAACTGCTTTAGTTGTTAATTTGAGTATCCAATTTATCGCATGGTAAAATCTGAAGTCATTTGAGGAAACATCAGAATTATACCAATTTTTAAGTTGTTGACTAGAATTTTAAAAGAAACATCTTTAATTTTAGACTGTAAAAAGGCAGTTCCTGAGTTCTGAGCACTACCATAGTGAAATGGTTGATTTGTGATACAACTAAAAATTCTGTTTTGATAAACTGAATGTCTTGCTACTGGCAATTGTAACACGACAGCGTTAGTCTTCCTGCCTGACACCCCACCCCCACCCCCCCAAGATTAAAGGCAAGCATTGATTGATATTGGTTTCAACCTTTTAGGTAAAAAAAGTTTTCTTCTTCAGTAATCCAAAAAGAAATCTAGCATCCATTTGATAGCAGAGTAATACAGATGTGGTTAAAGTACTGTTACAGAATTTGTGTATTGTTTTGACACAGTTAAGCAATAATATTTCCATAAATAGAAGGTATGGCTTTGTATTGATCTCTATCTATCTATTTCCATAAATATTATTGACAAATATATTACTGGCAAATGAGGAGCCAAAGTCAAAGTATTGATCTCAAATATTTGACAGCTTGAAACAATGAGAACGGGGATTGTCTGTAATTTCCCAAGTCCTCTGTTCTCATTTACAGGCTTATCTTTAAATCTTGAAATGCAGATGTATCTAAAGCTGTGCTACAAGTGTGTGTGATATTGTCACAGTTTACAGCCTAGTCAGTAGTGATACAGGCTGAACCTGTATCGCAAAACTCCAGCCATGCAGCCCTTGTATTTATAGTTCCGTGTTCACTTAAATAGTGAAAAAAAGCTGACAGGAGCATTATTTATTCAGTAGTATGAGATTAGAGCACTGTCAGCTGTTGGACATGTCTTTTGGATAGCATATGTAATTGAGATCCTGAACAATTGTAAACAATCTTGTGCATTTTTCGTGTGAATAAAGGAGTTACCTCTAGGGAGTTTGCCAGATTTTAGTATGATTATTTTCCATCTACCTAAAATTCCCCTGTGTTTTTAGTTGTGCATTTCCATCCATAGATGAGTCTGCAATAGCAATGTTAACTGCAAAATAGCTGCTGTGTTTCACCCCAGATGTAGTTCAGTTATGGATGAATGACCAGTTGTTTTTATCTAGGGTTCAGTTATTTCACTATTGATATCAGAGGCAGTTTTGCCATTGAATTAAAAAGAAGCATTGGGTTTATGATCTATGAAGTACTTTTCGAATAAACTTCCCTATAATATGTAGACTGCATAACAAAGAATAAACATGAAGAAAAAAAAATACTATTGCATCCCAAAGAAAGGCAGGGTTTCTGTAACCTCAGTGACCTAATCCTGACACTCCTGTTCAGTGCGCATATTTGAAAGAAATTGCATTATTGCCCCTTAGTGAGTTACAGCTTATCAGCTGAGCCATGGTTATTGTCCCCTGTGTATTGTCATAGTCCACCCTGTCCAAGCATCAGGATGATGGTTAGATTAACTCTCTTTATGCTGTGTTTGCAAGAATTCCACTCTCAATCTCTTCTCATCATATCAATATTTTAAAAAACAAAACAAAACAACCAACAACTTATTAAATCAGCTAAACAAGAGAGTACTTTGTTGTTTATCTCCGGTGAATCACATCAGTTGAACTGCAAAGCCCTCACGTGACACGTGCTTTAAAAAGGTAGATCCACTTCCTGGAACTTCTCTATCATTTCAGGTTTACTGAGATAATGGTCTCACAACAGCAATATGAAGTGGAGCCCTTTGATCATACAATAGTATCTTGTATTTTTCCTAAATTACAATGATACTCATAGAAAATAAAATAACAGGGACTGAAGCACATCATCTGTATTTCCAAATGACCTACGAGTTAAATGACGTTATCAGAAGAGAATGTGGAGGACATTTAATAGCTGTGTGCAGTATCTCAGTTATATTAGAGAAGACTGTTTTTAAACAGTAGAGATGCTCTTTCCCAAAATGTCTGACTCTAAGACTATTTCTTAAAAAAATAAAAACCCCAAACCAACTCTGAGCCTTATTTAAATGTCACAAATATCAACTGAAAATGTCTCCGTAGTGCCAGATTTGTGGTAGCTTTCAAAACCAGAATTTTGTAAATGTCCATGCTTCCTTTTACAGTTTTTTAATTAGCCTGTGTAAGTCCCTTAATTTTATCTGAATCAGACGTGCTAATATCAAATTACAAGCAAGGCTTTGGTTTTATTGGCTTTGAATGAATATCTTACTGGGTCAATTTGATACCATTTAAAATCACAGAATAATATAAATTTTATATAGAACCTTGAAGTGTTGGAAAGAATCAAGAATTTTACTCATCTTCTAAGAGAGAAATAGTAATAAAGGCTTGTTTCTTTATAAAAAAGTTAGTGATCTGAAGTAGACATGAACTCTTTGTTAGTAGCAAGTCTATATTTTTTTTTTATTATTTCCTTGATTAAGTAGACCACATGGGGAAAAAAACCCAAACGAACAGTGTTTAGGCAAAGTTCGATTTAGCTCGGGCATTGTCAAGTAATAACAAGTGGAAGATAAAGTACAATACATTCAAGGACAGCGGGGGCTTCAAATCTTGACAGCAGGGGCTTAAGATCTTGGATACACTGGTAATTACAAATCAACAACCAGATAGAGATATCATGACTACAGGCAAGCGACTGTTTTCCTTTTGTTAGATGTGATGTTGCCCTTTTTGTTCTGTAAATTAGAAAGAGCTTCTGGGGGGGTGGGGGTGGAGCGGGGAGGAAAGCCGCAGCTGGTTCAAAATAACTGTGATGTTCTTGATTTGTTCTCATATACCTGTGTTGTCTGCCACAGGGTGGCTTACTCTTTTTGTAAGCTAGTCTTCCTCACTCTTGTGCTTTGAAAAAAAAAATTGGTAACTGGCTGAAAAATCATGAAAGTTAACTGAATCAGCTAAGGTCTGCAGAAGTGACATGGTAGTTTGTTTGGCCCGTGTTTTGTTGCTCCCTCTTCTCTTTCCATTCCCCCTTTTATGTGATTCAGAAATTGTCATTTTGGCCTGTGAGCTCTTTGCCTTCTCACCTGTTTGCAAAATGCCCGTTGTCAAAGAGCACAAACTTTTTCTTATGTGTGCCATCCGTCACAGAAGGGAGCTTTACAAATAGTACCCAGGCGATAATAATCCCAT